AGGAGAGAGTACGAGCCACAGAACTACTGGACGAGAGAACGCAGACATTTTGCGTGTTGGATAGCGGCATAGCCACAAGAACCCGCAACCACAAATAAGGCCCAGAGCCATTGCCGCGACAGCGGCGCTATCCCTGCGAGTGGTACCAAGTACCGAAGCTAAGAAACAGCCAACAAATTGCTTAAATAACCTGGTCACGGACTGTGCCTTTGGAGACAGATACTGATTGGCGGGAGCAATTTTAGGAGTAGGCACTGAACAATTTTCAGCCACTTTTGGTTGCTTGAACACTTGTATTAAAATCTAACCGTAATAATAGCATTGGAGAAAATAAAGGCAATCGGTAAAAAACTCTGCTACAAATCAGGTACCATCAAAAGACTAAAATACTATCATAGTGTCTGATGAACTGATTTTAATACTTCCGCACACAACTATGCAAAACGCCATGCACCAATATATTCCTTTGTATTGTCACCGATCTTCGACCAGATGTACTCTACTAATTGACAGTAACCGTGACGGATAGCGAATTGGAAGCACAACATCAGCTTTTGATTAGGCACGCGAGTCTCTGGAAAAAAAGAGTTCAAATAAGTTCAAGGGTAAAAAATAGCAGGTGATTATCTCTGTGAACTTACCAGTATCGAAGAAAATCTCCCAGTTACTTTCGAGTAGCGTCAGCCAAAAATCGTAAACTGGGTGCTCAGAAAGTTGTTTCCTGAAATGATAACGGCATTGAACAACTTTCTATCGACTCGTTTTCTTGAACTCCCTTTTTCTTTTCTTGAAACGACATTCAACAAAAGCCATGTGAAAGAGCGACCGCTCCTGTTAACAGCGTTACCCGCCTGGCCTCCTCATCTCAACTTCTTCTCGTTCCCTCATTCTAGAGTTTCTCGCCTGAGTAAGCACTCTTTTAAACATGGGTTTGTTGAATCCTCCAAGTCAACTGAAGACTTAAAGTCATTATGGAGACGTTTTTGGCAATTCCTTTTTTTATTTATTTCTCGACCACATGACAACCGTTCTCTCACAATTGAGTCCTTCTGCTCATACCCTTTTATCGAGGAGTGTGCCTTTGAGTATCAGCGTCTCTCATCACAGTGATACTATTACCACCATTCTTGGCGCTCAGAAGGTGAATGCAGCATAGATTTCGCGTAAGAATTATATACCCTTATGGTGCCTACGTAGGGCGGAACTGGTGTAGTGGCAAGTGGCACGCTTACTGCGGCGAGCAGTCCGATCAGGATCAAGTCCTGGGTCGTGAGTCGCCCGGGCCAACCAAGCCTTCCATTCGGGGTTACTTAACACATTCACGCCGATGGCCGCCCATATGGGCTGCCAACAACATGTGCTTCTGGGACGATGGCAGCCCATATGGGCTGCCAGCTGATAATCGCTTGCCAGGCGCTAGGAATGGACAGATAGGTGGGCAAAATCTCGTAATCGAGTGAGAAATGCTTTTAAATTCCTTCACGGGGAAAGTGAATAAATGCTCTCTTTTCGTAAGTCGTTCCGATCGAAATACTACTATTATATGTTAGATAATCTTTACACATTGAACATTGCTGAAATCATTTTGTGGCATTCATGTTTTTGTTCATTTGCAGTACAAAATCTGAGGTGTGGGCGAGGCCCACAAAATCGCGTCCGTCCCACGCGACCGAAAAGTTGGAAAAAGGGGCGTCTCCTGAATGTGGTTAATTTGGTACCAGACTTGTCTGGGAGGATAAAAAAACACTGACTTGTACATCGGCTGGCCCCCGCGCAAGTCATTGTATAGGCCACATCGCATTCAAATGCCACTACGAATGTACAAATGGAAGTAGAATGCGTGCCGCATCCCAAAAAGGGATTGATCAACGGCAAATGCTTTATCCTTATACTTTATGCTGCCTACAGTCTAACAGGCTTAGTTTCTTATTAACGAAAACATTGAAAGATGTGAGAAGGTATTTTCAGGAAGGAGAAAGGTGAAGAAATGCGTTCAGAGTGTCCACTGGAGCTGACAGGCATTCTTGTTGGATCACATTAGTGTGGCTCTCGCCATACGAATGCGATGTATTGGTCAGATGCTATTGCGTCATTCGCCGGCACTAAAGGAAAAGGAAAAGAATGTGTCGAAAACGCTTAGGCTATGGGCTCACTCGTCTTCCTATCCGGCTGTGCAAAGGGAATGAGAGACTGAACGCGGAGAGGAGAGTATGAGGCGAGAAATCGCTACGGGTGAGAGAGCGTCCAGACAACAGCCTGATAAGAGAAAAAATCTGCAGCTTGCAGCTTACTTTGCAAGGCCCAAGCGCTCTTGTCGGTTGGTTTCCGTGCACGGGAACGCCACATTTGTGATTGTCCTCTAGGGGTCTATACTACAGACCGAAGGGAAGCGTTCACACGACCTCTGCCTGGGTTGTGCCTTTAAATGGGATGAAACGTTCTTTTCAAGTCGAACGCTATCACATCTCCTTTACATAGTGCCAACAACCTCCTAAACTTGGGTTTGGTCACTCTCTACGAGAAGCCTCTTCTCTTCTAAATCACGTTCTCGTTAGCGATAATTTTTGATGCCGTGATGTTTACCAACTCACTTGAATGTGATTCGTCGATATTTATCGAATCGAGTCTCATCCTCGAATGATCTCTGTGATCGCATACATGCAAGCCAATTGAAATTGCATTTGAGGCCAGTTCGCGCACTCAGTAGCGATCAGATGACGTGCTGACGCCAAATCGTCCACTTGAACGCTGAAAACAGAGAATGGTGAATGATTACGACACTTCGAGAACGGAAGTTGAAAGAGGTATTCGCAATTTTGATGCATTCTGTCAGTGACTGTGGAGCGACCCGAAATTATCGACATTCCATACCCCTCCCCCACCCCTCTTCCTCACAAATGGTGGGGAATGCTTCGTCGTGTTCGTGTTAAGTAGTAGTATGTGTTTTGAGGAAGAATTGCACGACAAGTTCGGTGGTCCGAGAGGTGGGAACATACCTAATGGAAAGGCAACCCTGAGGGAATGGCACCATGCGCGTTTTGCCGCGAAAGGTCTGTTCCAGCGTCCCAGCAGGGCCATACATGAGCCGCTCGCGCCGCTGCACGCCCAACAATAGCTGAACCCTCGCCGTATGTTCTTAGGGGCACTAGCAGACAGAGCGTAACGTTAATGAGCTCAGCACCAAGACTAGCGTATAGCGCCACTTACGAACGAAGAGGAGATCCCATTTTCCGGATTGCTGTTTTCGTTGATGTTTTTTTCACCAGTGCATCACTGCCCACCTCAACCTTGATTTGTTATGGGGTGTATTTTCATCGTAGATGCCGCCTTTGAAGCCAACCCAGGAGTAACTCGATAAAGTGAAGCTCTTGAGTGAGAAAGCTAGAAGTGGTAGAGCAGCAAACATACGCGTCGCACTAACCTCGCAGCACGATATTATAATAGTATGCAAAAGCGCTAGAAAGATAATGTGCGGAATCCCGGGTTTACCCAGCACCCAAGCATGCTTAGTAAAGAAAGTTGTTTGCGCGTGCTCTGTAATTTTCGTCGGAAGCTACCAATGTGAGTATAACAAAGTGTGATCAACTCAATTTCAAACTTGGACAAAGAGTCCTTTCTGCTCCCCCAACGCCTTATAGGTCAGGAGGTATCGTTAAGTATGCTGCGGCGATAGCAGCCTCAAGAGCGCGAAACACGCACCGCGAACGGCGGCGAAGACATGCCGGCTACTTCACGCGTGCAGCCACCTACTAATTGATCAGCCAGAATACATAGATCTATGGACATATATCGTCAGCGCTCGAGGTAAGGAGATGTGGTCGAGCAAAAACATCAAATAATATCATCAAAAACATTTTTTGCAGCCACCCGTGTACTGATCCTGTAACAGCCGTAGCACAAATGGCGCTGGCTCAGCAAAACAAGTTAGCGGTTTCTTTTCGATTGTCTTTTGCCGTGGCTATGTTGTCAAGTCTGCATTCACGACTCTGCTAGATGCAGGAAAGAAGGTGGAAGTGGAGTGGCAGAGTTGTCGCATGATGTTTGAGCAAATGTGTACGAAGTGGGCAAACGTTTTAAAGACAATTATCAAACTAAAGCAAAATATAAACTGAGTTGACCTAATAAATGTATAAATATACATTAAGTAAACATATGAATTAATTTTTGCGATTGGAGTTGCGATACTTCAATAGTGTCACACATACTTGCTTTTCACCATCCTCTCCACCCCTCAGTGTTCCCTTCAGTGGCTGTGAATCCATTCTTTACATCGTCCGCGGATTATCTGCATCTACGCTCTTCTTTTATTACGGCTATCAGCGCTAATTAACGGTCTCCCACGAGATAATCATCTTTTTTCAGATAAAAACCACGTCAAGACGATGAAGTAATAGTAATATGCGGTTCTCACTACTAGTATGATGTTTAATTCGAGGGTGACTAGAACAAAACCAGTACATATTCTCTGTGTGATCGTCATTGGCACAGGTGAGCAGATTGCTTTTCCTCGTTCAAACTGTTGTTTTTTTTTTGGAAAAATTTCCCTACAGTGAACAAGAATATTTGGAAACAACTGGCCGAGTAATATCTTTTCCAAAGGGCGGAAGGACGAGAATTCTTCTGAATTCCTCGTGTCCTCTGAAAGGCAAGCTTCGGTATAAGTAGCTACGGAAGAGCGTTCTCAAATGAAGCTGGACGGAGTGAGTGGTTGAATAAAGAAAAAAGTACAGACAGCCCCTTTTTATGCCCGCATAACAGACGCTATTTCAAGCCGGCCATTCCAAGAGTTGCCCTGAAAAAGGCTTATGTCACTGTACGCATTTGTGTCTCAGTTAAGGACTTACAACACTTGTTCAACAAATTTGAAGGAATATTTTGGTCTCCTGGCCTGGGAGAAGCATAGCATACTACCCAAAAATTATGACACAGTACCCATTTCGACCAATTTGAATATCTGGCCAGCTCATTCGCACACCAAACAACTCTCAAGATATTCTCCGTCATGATGACTCGTCATTCAGAAACGCTTTGCAACCACTCCCGTACCATCAGTGCACGCCTCGTCACCAGGGGCGGTATTCAATCCTTCCCCAGGGGGATATATCCCCTCTCTCTGATTCAATCAGGGTTGCGTCATAGGACCTAGCATACCTCTGTGTTTCTACCTGCCAGACAGTTAGAGCAGCGCGACCCCTCAGGGAAAAGAGTGCTTCATCAGTGGAGGGTAGTAGCGCTGCTCTAACTGTCTGGCAGGTAGAAACACAGAGGTATGCTAGGTCCTATGACGCAACCCTTTTTTGTCCCCCCAGAGGATTGAATCAGAGGAGGGGGATATATCCCCCTGGGGGAAGGATTGAATACCGCCCCAGTTCATCGCTGAACATACCCTCTCTTTCAAAAAACAAAAAGGGCATCGATGCAGACTACGCACCACAAGTGACGACGGTCAAGAAAAAAGAATAATATAATAGCTAATTTTCTCTGTCGTCGCACTTCGTGCGGTGGTCTGCACTCGACATTCTTCTCATTTTCTCACATAGAGGATATAAGAAGTTCGGGTAAAGGATAGTCACACTTTTCCGAGGATGGCTACTCTCTTTCCTTCATACAGAGCACAGCACGAGAGCTAGATTTCGAGTCGGAGTTCAAGACTATGTCAGGGGAGCATGTACACAAAACAGCCAGGAAGCTAGACGTCTCCCGCCCAACCCCCACATGCAAATATCAGTGAATCTAAGGAAAAGCACCTCTTTTGGCTTCAAATATTTAACTGTGCGTTTTCGTAAAGCGATCAACGAGATGGTTTATATTACTATGCTGAACAGAGCGTACCTACAGAACCGGTTCGGACCTCTGTGCAGTCCAACACATCATGTAGACTTGCGAACGAGGTGATTTTTGATAGTTTATTGCACGTCAATAAAATGAGCACAAAGCGGCAAAAACGGTCGTGTACACTTACGTCACGTAGTAGGGTGGCGACTAAATTCGTACCCTAGGATTTCTGATTTGATAGACGTGGGACAATCCTGAAATTGTAAGAAAATTGAACTAGAACTAGAACTTCTCGAAAAAAGAGGCTGTCAATAATCATTCGGTTCGCTGCCAAGTTGCGTAGAATGTGAACTGAGGTAAGTATCCGAGCTCCCTATCATCCTCTACTTGCGAGAAGGAGAAGGGAGAGGGTACCCCGTGTCTAAATCAAAAGTAGGATGTGCACGAAACTACGTTGCGCGACTGTGCCAGAAGACACCATTTTTTGTTCTTGAGCTATTCAAAAGTTTGGTATATGCTGCTCGAAGGGGATTCGCCCT